TTCGTATGTTATGGCCATGTTTCCCACATAGTCCACAGCGCCGGCGAGGTACTAGACTCGGGCTCGTACAATTACTATTTTCTATTAAAACCACTTGTTCTTGCGAATCAACATTACTAAGGACCCCTAAATCTTGCGCATCTTGGAGAGTAAGTGATCCTCCTTCCTGTAATCGGCGCTTTTTCGTACGACGACGCCGACTAAGTTGATCATTTGCTGTACGAAGTGTAGCATTCTCAGCTCGTAATAAAGCTACCTCAGTGATTGCACGCTGTGCACCCTTTGCAAGCTGGTCTAGGCCATATAGAATCTGGGTTGGAGAACTATCTTGGTGTCGTACGACCTTGTTTTGTATATATGACGTCTGGGAATATGCCTCTGTTATGTTATTTGAGGTCTTTGGTTCCCAAATAGCTAGGAGGCTTGTTGAGGTAGATGGACGTGACGGAGTCCTTGGACGTATATCAAGCTGTGAAATCACAGAAACTGGGTCGTACGGCACTAAGCCAGATCCTCGAAATCCTCCTCGAATGTTTGATTCAGTCATTGTCGCACGAAAGGCAGTATAGAATGTTGATAAGACATCCTCCTTAGAAACATATGTAATGTGGAGTCGCATTAATTTCTCAAGTTCAGCACCATACGACCTTTTTAACGCTCGAAAACATCCTACATCGAGTGGCTGGAGTCTATGAGAGGAATGAGCTGGCATGCAAAGAGTAATCCTCCTTAGAAACATATGTAATGTGGAGTCGCATTAATTTCTCAAGTTCAGCACCATACGACCTTTTTAACGCTCGAAAACATCCTACATCGAGTGGCTGGAGTCTATGAGAGGAATGAGCTGGCATGCAAAGAGTAATAATGTTATTACTCTTACAAAAAAGCTCAAAATCGACTGAGTGGTGGCTTTCATGGCCATCAAGCAAGCACAAGCAGCCGGTGAATGCCCTTCGTACGAAGCTTTGTATGCCGATCGAAATGAAAAATCCAATCTAGGGCTCGCTCATTTGTTGTCCAGCCATTTGTAGTTACGGCAATTACCCAGTCGCGTGGTAATTGGCTGTTTTCGTACCAGGAGAGGTGGTTCTTCCCCGCCAAAATGATATATGGAGGCACTACAAAGCCGTACGACCCAACACCTTGAATTACTGTTGCCCATTCCCGGTTTCCTTGCTGTACTGTACGAGGCCGAGAAAGCCTTTCGGTACTTGTAACAACCATTTCTGATGTAATTTGGCCCATACAAAACCCAGTCTCGTCAAAGTTATAAATATCCTCCTCCTGAATCCCATATTTGTCAATTATATTTCGTACGAGGCGAAACCACGCGTTATACGCGTCTGGATTTTCGCATTGGACTCTTTGATAATCAATCCTTCGATTAAAACGCGTCTTAAGTTCAGGTTGTCGTCGTACGAAGTTCGAAGTCCAGTTCTTGCCAACGCGTCCTGCACCCCGCTCCGAGAGGATACGATTCGCCATATCTTCAACACAACGTACTCGTGGGGGAAATGATCGAGAATCTAGGTCGAGAATATGTCGTACGATAACTATTTCTTCAATCTCTGTAAGTTTTCGAGATTTAGCGATAGAATCTTGTCGTGATAATATTCCATGAGTTCGATTAAGCAATGTCGTATAAGGTACTTTATAGATCCGCGCAACCTTCTTAACTTTTAAATGTGGGTTCGTACGAAGCGTATTTAACGCAAGAATCATATCAGACTCTGTCCAATGCTTAACCATTTTGTTTGTTAAGAAAAAACGCGCTCTGAATAAGTTTGTGGAGTGCCAAGAAAAAAATCCATTTCGCTTGGGAATCCAACTCGCTTGTGGACTACGTTATATATATATATATATATATATATATATAGCCTTTGAGCCAATAAGAGAGCTTAGCCTTAAATAGAAATAACAACAAACTGAATTGATTTGGTTATTTACCAAGTTAATCACATACTACTAGCTTACGTGTCACGCTTAGTAGATACTGGCGTAATCTAAACCTAGGTACAAATAGTCCCCTAATCACTAATCTTAGTTGTCCTAAGCTCGTCAAAGCAAGATTTCTTCCCCGAAACTAAATTAAATAATAGAGTCTACTTGTAAAGCACCAAGAAAAAAGACAACTACACTTCAAACTTCTACTTCCCATCCCCCTTCAACCCACTCACCGCTCCACTCTCAGAAGTAGCCGTCGTAATCCTCCCCAAACCCCCCACAACCACGCCCTCATTCTCAGCCTCAACATCCACCGGCACAGGCGGACCCGTAAAAGTATTCCTGCCCCGCACAATATACCACACCAGACTGATGATTGCAAACGCCATAAACACCACCGACGCATAATTCATCGTGACAGGCGTGACAGGGATAGCAGTAGGCATGCAGAAAATAATAATGGCAAAGACGATCCAGATGATAGTCGCGATATTGATGAAGTAGCCGAATTTACCGAGGGAGAAGGTCGAGTGTCGGACGGCTTTGCGGCCGCGGAGGACGGAGACGAGGATGGGTATGCCGTAGGAGACGGAGAGGCAGATGGTTGCGACGCCTGTGAAGGCGTTGAAGGCGGAGGTGGAGCCGAAGTAGATGACTCCCAGGATGCAATCGACGAGTGTGGAAAGGACTAAGGCCCACAAGGGGATGTCGAAGCGAGGACTGACTTGGGACCAGAAACGAGAGCCGGGGATGGCGCCGTCGCGTGCGAAGGCGTAGGTGCATCTTGAGGCTGCGGTTAGGGAACCTACACCGGCGAAGAACCAGATTCCGAGGATCAGGAAGAGAAGGGCGAAACCGCCACCGGCTGAACCAGTTGCTGTTTTGAAGATGAGACCGATAGGTTGGCCGCTGAGGAGGGCCAGGAGAATAGGTACGTCGGGGAGAACGAAGAGGATTGGAATCAGGTAGATGATTCCTGTTACTCCCGCGGCAGCGACTGAAAGAACCATGGCTTTGGGAACTTCACGCTCGGGCATCTGGACTTCTTCGCACATGGAAGCGACCATTCCGTATCCAGTCAAAGTATCTAGGCTTGGTTAGATATATTGGGATATCAGAAATCTTGAGAAACTTACAGGCAGCTTGTAAGAGACCGACAAAAAAGGCCCAACCAGCTGGCCATCCACTGGCACTCGCATCGTAGTGTGTAAAGACAAACTCGGCATTACGTTTATTATCCGCCATTGTCAGAATCGTGATGATAATGATGAGAACAGCCGCGCCGGTCCAGTAAATACAAACCTTGTTAATCAAGTCCAAATATTTAGACCCAAATACGTTGACTGTAAAAACGATTGCCATGACGAGCCAGAAAGTGAGAACCGTTTGCCACTGCGTAGCCACGAAATCCTCGTTCCAAAGCGTGATGGCGGACAAGATCAATTGAGCGCCGGAAAAGTTGATACTCAACGTGACAGTCCAATTGCCAACCAACCCAAGCCATCCATCCACCCAGGACACAATGGGTGCCCATTCTTTCGTTGCCAGCATTGCGGACCAGTAATAGACGCCTCCAGCGGTAGGGAAGACCGCACAGATTTCAGCAAGCGAGGCAGCGATACAGAGAGAGATGATTGAGACGAAAACCCAGCCCCAAAGAATAGTCACTGCTTGGCCATCCGTCAGACCGATTGCCATGGTGGTGGAAACACCAAAAGGCACGGCCATGATGGCAAAAGACCTTGATGAGTTAGTGAATGTATATCATGTGGCCTATGGGTCATTCTTTGCAACTTACAAGCCCAAAATACTCATCATACTCAGATTTCGAGGTAGTTCGCTCTTGTAGCCCATATTCTCCAAGGCAGCATTGGGATTGGCCTTCGGGCCATCGTGGGTGATGGAACTCATCTTGAGCTATAGAGAAAGGAATGTATAGGCAGTCGACGAGAGACTCAATAAAGGTAAATTACAAGTATTAATACAAAATGTGCCCACTCGTCGTCGACATATGAAGAGTTGGAGTTGAGTCGCACGACGACGTAATGTTTACCCAAGCAAGGTTGCAACCTGCAGGTACCCGGCGGCGGTGCTGGTGATGGTCTCGTGCAAGAAGAGAGGAAGACGACCCTAAACTACGGGAGTCCCAACATTCCCTCTCATGAAGGATATATGTACTGGGTAGGCATGGGGTACTGGATCCTAATATCAATACAAGTACGGTCTCTACGCAGACGTGGGATAGAGATAACGGGTAGCGTGTAAATATCGGCATTTTCCTGATCTCGTCGTCGATTGTGACGGATTGACCGACGAGGGCGCAGGGCAGGGCGGATTTGGTCATGGACATGACAACGCGAAATCGCCAGGGGCTCCTGGAAAACCTTATGACAGATGTGGGGAAAGAGTGCCCATCACGATAAGCGCCCATTCAGGTTCCAACTTGACCTTGGTTTATGCCAAGACCCTTGAAGTGATTTTAATGATGTGAGGGGTGAGTGTAGAGTATTTGAATCAGGTGAAAGATGCGATAACGTGGGGCCAATAATATATTCGTCTATTTAGCGAGTCAACGGGTTGCAGGCTCGCGCCGCTACTTGTGAGCTTGTGATGTGCTCGAGGGTGTAGTAGCTGGCTGAATGATCTCAGACGGACTTTTATAAGTAAATGTCCTGTCCTTTCCAAAGTTGTTGAAACTAGGTAGGCAATTTACGACGGAATCACTCGGAATCATTCCGAAGCTTTGGAACTGAGTTGACAGCCCCGGCAATCAAAACTTCTTAATGGAAGTGTTGTATCAGACCAGTGAAATCATGGTATCCATGAGTAGCTACAAGCTATTTTGGGATAAGGCTGGATGTCACACAATGATAAACGAACGAGTCCGTGAAGAATGCTTGTAACACTTTATTATGCTATACCCCTCTACTTTATTTGAAAGCTTGTTATACAATTCTTGATAGGTAGCAATTCTTGGAATACACTTTGTATCTAGTCGTTCTCGATTTACTCTCATGCGGAGGTACATGCATCAAGAATCACTTGAGCATTCTCATATTAAAAGGAATGCGTTCAGCCTTTCTTCTCTTACACTTTACACTGTCAGAACAACCCTCGGTTTCGAATGATTAACCAGTAACCGCCCAGGGAGGAAACTCAACACCCTAATCCACGTTAGTACCATAACTACTCGGTTTTCGTCCATAGCTTTCACTTCAAAGATCTTGAGACTTTTGAACCAAGTCTCTTCCCCTTCCATGAACATCGTGATGATCCAGTCGAAACGCCAAATACATCGCTTGAGCAACTGCAAACTAGACGCCCCCTCCGTCTTCTAAGCAGCTAATACTTTCCTCATAAATCATTCAACCAGCGAAAATGTAGGAGGAGACTTTCGAAACAAAGACACCCAGGTTTTGACCGAGAACCAAAACAAAACACTGACTTGTCCGGTTCTTTGAAGAGTCTGAGGTCGAAGAAGAGTTGAGAAATTTCTAGTCATTGCCTTTGCTGTACGTCGTGTCAACTCGAGGAAGCCGAGAGGCCACATGAGGATATAGTCTAAAGCAGACGGTACCTACGGAATAAACGTATTGATTTGGATGGGATAAACTTGAAGCGACCTCACCAGACCTCAGCCAATCAAGTTTAGCATCAGCCCCAACTACTAAACTCTCGCACTAGCCACCGCTTAGTCAGCCGAGCCGTTGAAATGATTTCAGCTGATCCTGAAGCCGCCAAGTACAGTACCGTACTCTATCGTGAGTACCTAAGCTCAGCGGCTGGTGATTGATTCCCTGCCACTTAAGGTGCCTGGCTCACAGGGCATGATCAGATGCAATTATCACCGCACAACACACCTGGACAGCACAATATTCTGCCAACGTGGGATTTCTGATCTAAAAAATTCAACCGTCAGTGTTCTCGTACAGAGGCGGACACCCCTTGTTGGCTCTCGCTACCCAACAACGTATTGCCACACTTCCACCAGGAGCTCGTGCCACAAAGCCAGCCCTGCAGCCCATCCTCTACTTACCGAGCCCGGGGCCACTGAACATAGCACGAACTTACGCCGGATTTCCCACCATCAGTCCAGTCCACTCCCCCTCGAGACGACGTCAACTCCAGCCACCATGGCATCGCCAAATACTTCTCGCACGAGTGCAAATGGTCAGAGGCGACCTTCTGCAGCTTCTCGATATACGGCTCCTCCGGCCATGTCTATGAACGGCCACTTTGCATCAGTTGGCGATGCGCCAACGAAGGAGACTTTTGAGCATGGCATCCAGGTCATTGACGAGGAGAAACAATTCAAGTAAAGCCTCATACATGATACGAAAACCCCCGGGTAACTGACCACTTGCTTTGTAGTCCAAGCCTCAACAAATATCTCCAAATGACCAACATCGCGCAATCTGGCTTCAACTATCACCTCATTTCCGTGTTTGGCTCGCAGTCGACTGGTAAATCCACCTTGCTCAACCACTTGTTTGGCACACAATTCGGGGTAATGTCAGAGACGGAGCGGCGGCAGACTACCAAGGGAATATGGATGTCCAAAAATAAACGGGAGGGCGACAGAGGCGCCGAGTCGGAAAAGATGGCAGACAATATTCTAGTAATGGACGTGGAGGGAACCGATGGTAGAGAGCGAGGAGAGGACCAGGACTTCGAAAGAAAGAGCGCTCTCTTCGCCCTGGCCACCAGTGAGGTTTTGATTGTCAATATCTGGGAGCACCAAGTCGGATTATACCAAGGCGCAAATATGGGATTACTCAAGACAGTCTTCGAAGTCAACCTACAACTCTTCTTGAAGGATAAAGCGTGAGCATAACCCTTTGGAATCGCCAATTCGTCTAACAAATGCATAGTTCAAATCCCCGCTCCCTCCTATTCTTTGTGATCCGCGATCACATCGGGGCAACTCCACTTGCAAATCTTCGAAATACCTTGTTGGCTGACTTGACGAATATTTGGACTAATCTTTCCAAGCCAAAAGGACTCGAAAAGTCCAAGATTGAGGATTATTTTGATTTCGCATTCTCGGCATTACCACACAAGCTTTTACAACCAGATAAATTCTTGGCAGAGATTGAGAAGCTGGGGACGAGATTCAGAGTCGGGCACCGAGCTGCCAAACCACACGGGTTTCATGTCGACAACGAACTGGAAGGAGGCGTCTTTTTGCCAGAATACCATAGACGAATTCCGGCCGACGGATTCTCTGTGTATGCCGAAGGAATTTGGGATCAGATTGTTCACAACAAGGATCTGGATTTACCAACGCAGCAAGAGCTTTTGGCGCAATTCCGATGCGACGAAATAACTCGAGAGGTCCTGGAAGCTTTTGATGTTGCGATTTTGCCCCTCGAAGAAAGTCAAGCGGAGGGCGTGAGACTAGGAAAGCCAACAGTGATTGAGAATTTGGGTACTTCAGGAAAAGCCGCCAGAGTCAAAACAGTCAAAGCTTTCGAGGTAGAGGCATCCAGATACCACAAAGGCGTATATGCTAGAAAGCGTGTGGAATTGGAAAACAAGATTGATCTAAGACTGAAAGCCCTGTATTCCGGCCAACTCACAGCAGCACATAAATCCGGGGTTGCTTCATTTAGTACTGCGGTTGCTAGCGCCGTTAAGGCTGGTCAGAAAAGGGGAGCATCTTACGAATTTGCAGACATTGTTGAACAGGAGAAGAAGGTTGCATTGGCGAAATTTGATGCAGAAGCCAAAAGTCTGGCGATTGAAGGTGTACCATGGAGTAACTTTGTATCGCAACACGGCCTTTACGAGAAAGATTTGGATGAAGTAAGTGCACAATTACGCAAAGAGGAAATGCGACGACTTGCCACTCGTGTGGAGAGGTGGGTTCGATCTAGGCTCGGAGATTCTATTGGGCTTGAATTCAACAAACTTGGTTCAGGGCGGGGAGGAAGCGGGGCTCCCGAAGATGGTGTCAAACCTCAATCAGAAAAGGATCTTTGGGATAGAATATGGAAAGTTTTCACCACGACCGTCGAAGAAGCCGAGACCCGATTCGTGCAACGAGCCAAAAGCTTTGATGCTAGTCAAGATGAAATCGATATTGGGTTGTGGCGATTGAGACGAAAGAGTTGGGGAGTTTTAAGAGCCAAAATCGATGAAGAAGTCATGGAAGGTAACATCCTTCTCAAACTTCGCGAGAACTTTGAGGACAGATTCCGTTACGATCAGGAAGGCGTACCTAGAATATGGCGCCCATCAGATGACATTGCGGGAGTCTACACAAAAGCCAAAGACGGAACACTTGAACTCATTCCTCTACTGTCAAAGTTCAAACTGGCCGAGACATTAGACTTTCCTGGTCTTGTGACATGGATAAGCGATGCTCCAGCAAGTATTGATCCCAAAGACGAAGAAGATCTCACCCCAATTGGCGGTGTTGATGAAGAAGAGGGTAAAAGTCTGGAGGAAGAAATGACAATATTAAGCGAAGCCAAGCGCCAGGATCTCGTGGTGAGATTTAAAAAGACAGCCGATGGAGTATATATGGAAGCAAAGAGAAGTGCCATTGGTGGTGTTGCCCAAGTACCATTATATTTCTACGGCCTCCTTCTGGCTCTTGGCTGGAACGAAATCGTTGCCGGTACGTTCTTTTCAACCCCGTGTTTACTTTTACCTCCTCGCTCAAGTATCGTACTAACTCCTCATAGTTCTCCGCAACCCAGTATATTTCATCTTCCTCATTCTCCTAGGTGTCGGCGCATACGTGACCTACACCCTCAACCTCTGGGGTCCCATGCTCCGCATGACCAACGCGGCTACCTCCCAAGCCGCCGAGATTGGCAAAGAGAAGCTCCGCGAGTTCTTGGAAACCAACTCTACAGCGAGACAGGCTATTGGGATGCCATCCCGGGCGGACAGTGATAATATCAGTATGAATACGCTTGATAGTCGAGGGAGGAAGAAGACTGCTGTTGAGAGTGGGGATGAGGATGATGATATTTAGACTACAGTATTTTGGATGGGATGATTGGGATGGATGGGATGGAATGGATGACATGATAAGAAACATGTTTCCTTTGTTAACTTTTTTTCTGGATTCTTCACTGCTAGGATGGGGTGGGGAGGAATGGAATGGAAAATATTTTTGCATTGTTGTGCATGGTTTTTTCTGTCGTGAGGGGGTTTTGTATCTTACCTTATGGCTCTGATGATGGGGATGCGTTGAATTGGGTGGGGTTGGCTGTAATAGGGTAGGTAGGGAAGAGAAGGGGTTTACTCTATGCGATGTGTCATTTGGATTTGGGCTTTGGGCTTGTAGTAAGTGATATGTGGGGTTATGTGATGATGAGTTCTTTGGAAGATGAGTAGAGGGGGGAGGGATATAGAGTTGTCGGAGTTGTTTTGGTGGTCGTTGTTGGTTTGGTTTGAGGCTAAGAGGAAAGATCGTATCTGATTTGTATAGGGGGGGTAGGGAAGGATGGGTAAGGGAGGGATGGGTGGTTATTAGGTAGAGTATTCGCATTTTTCGGGATGAAGGTGGCTAGGTACTTGAGGTATTGGGATCGGGGTGGGGATCTTGCGTGAGTTTATATACATGAGGAGGTTTTTTCGATGGGGTTTTGATGTGATGGGGTGTTTTGGTGGTTATTATTAACGACTGGGTAGTTATATCCCCTCAGTGGATTATATGTCTACGCTAAGCGAAACTTTAGAGCTGCAGCTGAGCTAGATTGCGCTCGCTTAACCAGTACCTCCCTCCCTTCCAACCCCCTCATCTACTCTCCACCCTGTCTAAGAAACTCCCCCACAGTCTTCAAAACCTTCTCCCTCACCTCCCGCTCAACATGGCACATATGCCCCGCATTCGCGAACGTGACCCAACGCACCTTAGGGATCCCCTCAAAGTAGGGGACTTGCGCGATGTCGTGTGAGGTGTCGTATTCGCCGTTGTAGACTAGTGTTGGTGCGGTTATCTGGGAGAGGGCGGGGATGCTGGTCCAGCCGAGGAGGGAGCCGGTGGGGATGTGAATTGAGGGGCCGATCCTGGGAGGGG